TATGCGACCGGCTGAATGTGTGCGCAGCTCTTGCCGCGCGTGGGCATTCAGCCGACGGGGAGGAACGAAGAAGGATCGGAGGCAGAGAGCTCCCCGCCCAGCGCTGGAAAAAGGTAAGTCTTACCCCTTTTCCCCTTTCCAGAGCCGGGCCGGCAAGTATGTTTTCCTGGCACTATAGTGGTCCTTGAAATTTAAAATGCAAATTGAATTCTCATTTTAGTAAATATCTCTGAAATATTCTACCCCCTTGGGTTTCCTAAACCATGTCTGAAAATGTTTTTATTTTATTTTTGCATTGCCTTCCTAAATTATGAATTGGCGAAATTAGTATGTTCAAAGAAAAACTTTGTTCAGACATGAAATATCAGGGAATATTGTTCTAAACATGGAGCAAAACATGTGACATTATCCCACATAAAAGAATCAATGGACTTCACAAAATAGCACAATTTTTCTTCAAAGAAAAACACCAGAATTGTCTGCTGACCATGTGGTGCATCTGCTTCTTCAAATGAAACAAACAGTTCAGAAATGTTATTATATTTTGCAATAAATATACCATTGCAACACACCTGAATAATTTATTCAACATGTCCCAGATTTAACGGCAGTTATCCCCCAAATATAAGTTACAGCAACAATGTAGCTTCTCCTGTGAACAGATTTTATGAGATGCACCACCACAGTATATAAACTGTGAGATATGCATTTATAAAGTCAGGTTAGGTGGAAAATTAATGTAATCGTTTTTGCGCTCTTTTAAACCAGTTTAAATTAATTTGAGAATTATTTTAGGCTTAAGATAGTTATAAAAATGTTTCCTTGTATTGTAACGGGTCTCATATAATAAAACAGTGAGGATTTGCAGAGGGTTTATCTATTTCATATAATATTTATTTTGCAAGGGAACTTGTTCTATCTTGTGTTAATGTGGCTTTGTGCTATCATGGAAGAAAAAAAACAAAAACTAAAATTAATTATATTTAACAATCCATCTCACTTCCCTTCCTATTACATTACATTTACTGATTCCTAGAAATACAGAACTGGAGTTAAACACCACCCTGGCCAATCAGCATCTCCTCATAGTGATGCATTGAATCAGGAATGAAGAAAGTTCAGTGTCTCCACGCAGAGGGTGGAGACACTGAATGTGCAGCACTACTCCAGGAAGCACCTCCAGTAGATATATGAGCAGTACCCAGTGGAGGCATACCTAGGCTGTAATGTAAACACTGCCTTTTCCCTGAAAAGACAGTTTTTACTGAAAAAGCCTCCAATGACTGACTATACTCACCAAAACAAATACAATACGCTGTAGTTGTTCTGGTGATTATAGTGTTCCTTTAAGCCCAGCCACTCTAAGGTCCGATAATACTATTTTTTTTTTCACTGACCCATAATGATTTATTTTTGCACTATAGGACATTTTATAGTAACTGATTCTGTTTATATTTTTTTTCCGATAATACTATTCTGTCTCACCTATTGGTTTTCCCAAGTTCTGCGTATTAGGGTATATTCACCATTATGCTTTAAGTCATAGCACTGTCTCCTCCCTCTCTCCTTTCTCCACAGACCATAGACTAATCACTGACTAATAGTGATTGATGGCTAGCACTCAACCAGGAATTACTGCGGTCTGTGTTTGCTACTGGGCATTTTGGAATGTAGGGGGCTTCTGTATACAAACCTTACACATATCAGAAACTATTGTTATAGCTTAAACAAATGGTCATACATGTTCCTTGTAACAAAATAAAAAATATTTACAAAAACAACAATATATCGTAATATATGCCCTCCTATAGTACTAATCCTATATATCAAAAGGAGAAAAAAAAAAGTGCACAATTTCTATTATACACTGTGGCGGGGTGGCTACCCCGGCACTTCGATTATTTGTGAACCACATAAAACATCAGATGTTAGGTTAAAAACTGTGGGAACAAATGGCAAGTGGGGTGCAAAAAGGATTGCCATATCCACCATCAAATGTGTCTTCTTGTTGATGTGCAAGGATCCACCATATCATTTGATTTAGACTACAGTAGGGTTTCTTCTTACTGGAGATTTGTATAATGAAAATGTGTGCAGTTATCCTGTACTATTCTGTTTAAGAAATAAAAAAAAGAGCTTATGGTTTTTATATAATTCTTCTGAAGAATCTGGCTGCTGCAGCAAAAGGATCAGATCCAACTACCATTAGTTAACTGTCTGCTGTATACATTTTCCTATTTATTTTCTTCGCATTAAATTATTCTTCTCCCCTTTATGTAAATGTATTCCTGTGTACCATCTGCATATTCATAAAATGTCCTTCATGTTCTCTGTCTGTCTGTCTCTCTCTCTATATATATATATATGTATATAATTTGTTTACTGATATTATTATGTTCCCACACATTATATCAATGTCAAAAGGAGTTGACAACCTTTGGACTTTCTGGGTCAATATTATTCCATAAAGACTTCCCCTACTACCATTTGAATCCACTATCAATAGTCAATATCAATAGTATATGAGGGAGAACGATAAAGAACAATAAAGTATTCAGTGTAGCATATTTTTCTGGTAGTTCCTCTCAATCCGGCCCGTGCTGTGGGCCAGATTAACATAGGGGCTGATGGAGCTGCAGCACCAGGCCCATACAATATATATATATTTCTACTATTCTTCACATGCTCTTGCTTAAGTATTGAAACTGAAGAGGGATGTTGGGGAACAAAACTGGTGTGGACTGGCCGACAATGAAATTAGTTAAAATAAGCCTGACTTTGCGCACTATGCAAATGCTCTTGCTGCTTCAGTCTCTCTAACACTGTGGTACCTTCCCTTTATTCTACAATCACTACATACACTAATTTCTCTGTCCCAGACTGTATAAGAGGAGCTTCTACCTGATAGTAAGAAATTAAGGAGAGGAGTGGACCAGTGAGTGCTAGGGGACAGTCCTTAGAAAGCGTAGAGGCAGTGCATCATTAGACGCATTTATGCCAAGCTCAGGGTGCTGTCTGTACAGTATGCCCTTGGTTGGTCATCCTGCATGATTGGCAGGCAGCCTGACGTGTATTGACCATCTAATTCTTCATGCAGGCATGCCCCCTTTTTTGGCATATTTGTCCCTTTGGGCAGTTTTGGTTATGTGATTCACATATGTGGCCCACCCTTTTACCCTGACCACCGAAATCCTGCTTCACAGGACACTGCTGTTAGGGGGTACGGAAGTGAGAGATTAGCATAAGGTATGTGTTTTCTGCTATATCCTGTGAATTTCCCTCCTGCACCACCTCCACCAGATACATGACGCTTGGGAGGTAAAACTGTTTTAGTGTTTTCTGTTTGATAAGATTCTATTATTAGGCCCGTCATAATTGTCAGCACCAGGCCCAATGGGCTCTTAATCCAACCCTGGAGGATAAGTTAATGTTAATTATACAAATAGTTTGTAGCTTCTTTTGTGAGCGCAAACATATCCTAAAAAAGGATATTTTTAGTCTCAACTTCTCTTTACCATTTTCTGTATTTTTTGATAATCCTACTAGACTCGCAGATCTACATTGATGGGAAGCACCCGCGCCTGTGAAGACATGCAGAGTTATTTACTAAAATAAAAATTAACAGTGAACTCATATTTTGCCGTTAAATTTGAATTTTACCTTGAATTCACCTTATTCTCAATTTAGCGAATAACCGTGATAGTATCTGCAGAATGGAATTTCTAATGCCATGTACCAGACATTTGAGGTTTCTGGGCGTTCACTTCTATGACATTTATGAGGCTCGTTGCCAAAAATTCTATTTTTTATAGCAGTACTATGTATATATCGTATTAAGGTAAATCTGTCACTATTTCTTTTAAAACAATATTTGCATCAACTATATATATACATTTTAAGCTCTTAAAGGTGTGATAATGTTCTAATGTGGATAACTTGGAATTGTATTGCAAATGTTAAGCCCTAGGTGACTTTAAATTAAACAAAAAAAAGTGGCATAAAAATGTGATGCCAGTAGCCAATCAAAGTCTTTCTACTGTGTAAGAACGAAAAATTTGTTATTTACTTTTTCTGATGATGGCTTGTGTCCCTTGTGTCCTACATAAAACAAAGACTAACAAGAAATAATTGACCACGTTTTTACTACAATACTAAATATATCTACAAATGATCAATTAGTTATCACTAGTTTTAAAGATTTCTCGATGACAATGCCACTTAGTATCTATGATTGCATACACATCATAGTTCTTCATTAACCACAGCTGCAGATAAAATTTGAAGGATGGAACTGCCTTTAAACTGAATCTCTATTGTTATAAATTACGTCAGAAGTCAAGGATACTGTATTGCTGATACATTCAATTTGGCACGGGAAGGCTGTCACGCAGTTTCGGTGCGTGCAGTGTTTCAGGGATAATTTGAGTTCTGTAAGAGTGCTGGGATTATTAAGATTGTCATAAGTAAATAAATGATGACTGGTGTGTAAAAAGACAAACCTACATGAAGTCATACTATCCTGATTAATTCACAGTGCTCTCACTGCACACAAATTATTCTAACGTGTACAATGGTATTGTTAACTGACATTGGAAAAAATAATAATAAATGATACAGTAATTGGAAAGAAATCAGGAGAGCTATAACTAACCTATAAGTTGATTTATTGCATCTGTCCGAGACCTGATTTCTTCGAGATATGAGCTTTAGACATATCATTTTTGTAAATCACGGCCCAATGGAAAATAGATTATATTACAATCAGATTCTAGACCTCTATAAAATGTTAAATGGCACAATGTAGTTGCAGCGTGTTCTCTAATGGTAATAAGTGAAAAAAAACAAAATTAAAATATAGCTGCAAGCAGCAATAGAGGTGACCAAAAGCATATGGGCAGTAGAGATGTCGCGAACCATCCACGAACTTCTCGCGAACGGTTCGCCACGGTTCGCCACGAGCTGTTCGTGGCGAACTCCGGTGAGCTGACACGTCCCGGCCAATCTCTAGCAGACCCTCCCTCCCAGACCCTCCTACTTCCTACTTCCATGGATGCTGTCCAGGAAGTAGGAGGGTCTGGGAGGGAGGGTCTGCTGGAGATTGGCCGGGACGTGTCAGCTGACCGGAGTTCGCCACGAACAGCTTGTGGCGAACCGTGGCGAACCGTTCGCGAGAAGTTCGCGGACGGTTCGCGACATCTCTAATGGACAGATATTGCAGTTAAAGAGGTAAACAGCAAAGATCTGTTTTTTTTGTTTTTTTTAAATAAGCTTATTTAAAAGTATCTCAAATTGGTCATGTAATCCAATATGGCAGCCACACCACATGACATATGGGCATCATATTGACAATCGCACATAAACCTTTGGAACAATTTCAAAATGGTTGCCAAACCCCATGGCTGATTGACCAATGGAGATGGACAAGCTAACAGCCTGGATAGAGATATGCTATGTAGAGAAGAAAATTAAAAAGATCTGAAATGGATGCCGACCTTTGTGACTTGTGATCCCTATATTAGCATTTAACAAGTTGTCATATGGTTCAATAGTGAAATAAATGTAAATGTCATCGTTTCTCAAAGGGACACTGTAAATGTTTCACTTTAATGAAGTATTCATAGTGTCTGGGGTCCTCTGTTGCCATGATCCATCTTTTCAGTGTTAAACTGAAAAATACTATTTTAATGATAAATTAACATTCCCTGCTCTGTGTTGCTTGGGCTAGGAGTAAGTACCAGAAGTGTCCCTTAAACAAAAGTGAAGCTAGGCTTAATAATAGACACAGCAATGTGCATATCTGTAGTAATATTTGTAAGTACTATGTGTTCAAGTACAAATCACTGGTAGCAGCCATATTGATTGCAATATCAACTTGCATGGAACAATCAAGGTGGAGTATCTAGCCTGATATATGTTAAATGCTTCTTTGTTCTGACACAGTTTTTAATTATTTAATATTGTGCAAAATTGGTCACAAAAAAAGTAATTAACTGTCAGACCATGTGACCTGGGTGGTCAAGCAAAATAATGCATGGATACATGCACTGATATTGCAGATATCATATGGTTTACAAGTTATATCATAATTCAATAGTAAAATAAATGAATGTATGCAATTGTAGCATACACTGATAGTAATTGTCCCGCAGTGGGCCAATCGACTTTTTAAAAAAAAAACAGGGTGATGTTCTAATAAACATTTATGGCTGCTGATTCATGTGACAGATTCTAATGCTGCAGATGTTTCATCATCATTATGCGCACAGATAGGGAAGACCTTGTTGAAGTTGTCGCTATAAATCTCTGGGGACTAGTTCTATTTTTTGAGACGCGGGACAGGATGATCTTGTTACAAACTATGTTCTATCGAGGGACCTACTAACTATTCTTGAGATTACTGAAGAATTTAAAGGCTTGACTTATTAATCGATCCTATCTGGCAAATTACATCAGCATTACAGTAAATATGGACCGCCACATAAGAGTTGGAGTAATGGGATGCCAAAAAGTCACTGATTATTACAAACCATGTGTTTTGTTTTAGAGAGCATTTTCAGCTTAGTTTGTGATTTAATGAAACCACGTTGCTCTGTATTTAATTTTGTCTGTGTAATATTAAATCCCAATCCCAAAAATACTTCTAATGGTGTGTAAAGGGGGGAGGGAGTGGGGGGAATACGCAAACCGAAGTATATTGAACACGTGGAAGTAATTAAATCAGACATTTAAGGGCAATTTTTATGCGCTCAACACCCATCTCAAGTCTAGAAGGTAGAAGCCAGAGTTATTTTAATGAAATCTGATGTCGGTCATAGAGGGGTTCCATTTATGTCACAGTACCCCACTTTCAGTAAGTCTTAACTGCAATGCAAAGAAAATAATAATTCTTGTGGTTTCTAGACCTGTCTCATTATAATTTCTTGTGCTAACAAATATATTTTGCCTGTGCTACCATCTCCCCATCTCTTGTGTATGTGTATATTGCATACCACTATGTGTATTTCCTTCCTAAACCTCTTTCATACTTACGTATTTATACACCTGTTTGATATGCTATGTATGTTTGTTTCTGTTGTAGTTTATAATTTGTTTCACCTCTGTGTCTTTCTTTTGTTTTTGTTCTCTCTCTTTCGTGCTTTCCTGGTTGACATGTTTTTGCACCTACGTTTTTCTTTATTTAAAACACATGCTGATATAGATGCAAGCATGGACACTGACAAATGCTAATGTGCACAGACACAAACAGTGATGCACATATAGATATAGACACACTGGCACATGTGAATACACACACTGACACTGAATACAAACACATGACATATGCTCTATTAACCAAAGAAGCTTCAGATTAATTGGTGGACTCCTGGCACAGAATAACAAATCCAAAAATACCCTCTGAAAATCAGCATGGCAGCATTCATTGCAGACTGTAGCGGGGCAGTATGGCGTCTAGCAAGACCAACTAGGAGAGAATTGTAATAATCAATACGAGAAAGTACAAGTTCTTTAACAGCATCTTGCATAAGAAAGGGCTGGACATGGGCAATGTTTTTTTGGGTGGAATCGACAGGATTTGGCAGGCTTAAAGGTGAAGCCAGAGTCAAAGATAACACCAAGACAGCAAGCTTGCATGAACAGGTTCATGCAAATAACATTAACTTGAAGGGAGAGCGAAAGAAGAGTATCAGTATCATGAGGAGAAAAAATGAGAAGCTCAGTTTTCGAGAGATTGAATATCAGAAAGCAGAAGGACATCCTATCAGAGATGGAAGAAAGGCAAGCGGTGACATGTTGTAAGATGGCAGGTGAGAGATCTTGGGAGGAGAGAGTTATCTGGGTGTCATTCACATGCCTCTCAACAGTCCTACTTTCGCCAGGTCAGTCCTGATCTTCGGGTGCTGTCTTGCAGTGTCACTTTAGTTCATTGGTGCCCCACGTCTAGGGAAACGAAGGAACTTTCCCCAGGCAGCACAGCTCGAGAGTATCATTAAACACATATGCCCTGTGCAGCAGAGAGCTTCAGCAGTGCTCCCTGCATGGTGTTGATAGCTGAGGGCCGTTCGTGCTGCCTGTTAGGTAGCGGATGTGCCCCTTTTTCAGGCTGGTCCACCCCTTTTCAGACGAGACTGCTCCTTTCCCTGGTAGCTCCACTAGTTGTGGGCATCGCTAGCAACGCGGCTTGCATCACTGGTGACACCCCGTCAGAACTCCTGACTTTTCGAGGGCAGAAGTTGTGAAGTATATTCATGTCCATTCAGAAAATGTCTTCCTAAATTTAGACATTGATAATTATTCTAAATTATAACTGGATTTGCCTTGGAATGCCCCAAGATTGTCTTGGATTTGTTTTTCTATTCAAGCTAGAATTAATTTGTACTTAAGTGCATACCCTGACTGTCTTGAATGTGTTAATGGAACAATCCACACACCTAAAGCACTTTAGCTTTCTGAAGTTCTTTATTTGTGAAGAGTGTGTCTTGATTTCAATAGAATAGGCACTCCCCTGGCTGTCAATTAAACTACCGATCCTGTTACTTCCTAGTTGTTTAGCTCAGTGGAGCTAAGCCCAAGAGGCAGAGTAACTGCCTTGCAAAGACTTCTCACTGAGTTGCATTAGGAAGTCGATGATTGGACAGCCACAGAAAGTCTGGGCGGGGTTAGAAGGGGAGGGCTTGCAAAAGACAGCAGACTAGAGATCTGCAGCTTTTATCAACTGTTTTTTTTTTTTAGATATACCCCAGTGAAAATCTATTAAGTTAGCAATGGAATGTTCTTTTAAAGGCAAGTGAGATAAAATATCCTACTCATTATAAAATGTAGTGGTTGGTGTCACCTGTACAGGACAGATTCTGTTCCTTTTCTAAGCGTGACTTATTCACGGAATACTAAATTGCAGTAAATAAATATCCACATTACAAAATGTTGTCAAAAACAGCTGAATTGGAAACATTCTCCAATTTGCATATTGAAGTCTAAATTTAGACATTTTCAATTCATTGCAATTTGGCATTTAGTGAATAAACCCCTGTGCACTATATTTTATCTTTTTTGTTTCTCAGTTTCTCACATTCTCTCACTCTCCTTTTTCTAATAAACAATAAACATATTTTAGTGTAAATAACAGTGTTTTTGCCATTTAATTTCTTCTTGGCAAACCTAATGCTTCATATTTTGGCTTCATGATAGATCAGAAACTGTTCTTTCTCACAAAATAACAATTAGTTCTCTTGTTAGGAATTATGATGATTCTCAGCCCAGATCTGCTCAGGGACCATCTGATACACACAGGGACTGAGCTGCTCTGTCCGCACAAATCCATTTTTAGGTGGATATGCATCTCTTTATTTCACCCTACTCCAGGAACCGGCTCTGATATTAAAGGACCACTCTAGGCACCAGGTGCCAGGTCCCTCTAGGATTAACCCTTTTTTTTTTTTTTTATAAACATAGCAGTTTCAGAGAAACTGCTATGTTTATAAATGGGTTAATCCAGCCTCTAAAGCCTCTAGTGGCTGTCTCACTGACAGCCGCTAGAGGTGTTTGCGTGCTTCTCACTGTAAAAATCACTGTGAAGACGCAAGCGTCCATAGGAAAGCATTATGAATGCTTTCCTGTGAGACCGGCAGAATGCGCGCACAGCTCCTGCCGCGCATGCGCATTCAGCTGAAGAGGAGGAGGAGAGCTCCCCGCCTGGTGCTGGAAAAAAGGTAAGTTTAACCCCTTTCCTTGCCATCCAGCCTGACGGGAGGGGGACCCTGAGGGTGTATGTTTTCCTGGCACTATAGTGGTCCTTTAACACTGCATATACAGACACTCGGACATCCTGCGTGTCTAGGCATTGTGGGAACTATAGTTTATAAAACTCTGCAGTGCCATCACCACCCATCACTCGCCATTTCCACAACCTTCTATTCAGTAACCAAAGTAGGAAGGCACAAGTAATAAGCACCGGTTAACCTAAACTCTGTTTTGAAATATTATTCAATAATCGTGTGGTTTCCTTTGTAGTTTTTTATGTTATTTTCTGCCTTGATCTATGAAATAAGTTATATTGCACAAAAAAATCTGACTTTTTTTGCAGACTGCTATCTG